AGAGAGAGAGAGAGGGAGGGAGAAGGAATCCCAAGCATGCTTCATGCTGTCAGTGCAGAGCATGATGCAGGGCTCAATCTCATGAACCTTGAGGTCATGAATTGAGCTGAAATCATGAATCAGACATGCAACTGACTGAGCCACTCAGGCCCCAAACCATATAAGCATTTAAAAAAAATTTTTTAAGTTTATTTGTTTATTTTGAAAGAGACAGTGCAAACAGGGGAGGGGCAGAGAAGGGAGGGAGACAGAGGATCCGAAGTGGGCTCTGTGCTGACAGCAGAGAGCCTGACGTGGGACTCGAACTCACAAACCATGAGATCCTGACCTGAGTTGAAGCCAGACGCTTAACTGACAGAGCCACCCAGGTGCCCCATAGGCATTTTAAAAGCTATAGAAGATGTATCTTCCATCAACAAGGCATTCATATAGGTGACTTCTTCTCTCTAAAATATATTTTTCCTCTTTCTCATTCCATATCCCTTCTCACACCTTTTAGGTCAACCTTTGCTTATTTAAAGGGAGATATCTTTGATATTCTCCTATTTGGGAAATTATTAGTTCCCCCAAAACGTGCCCCTCTGGGTGGTAGTGTTTATCATACTTTCCAGACCTCTGAAAGAAGATCCTGAGGAATTGTATTCACCCCAAATCAACTTACTGGATGAAATGATCTTCATAAGCTACTTCATTCAATTTACACATTTCAATAAAGAAAGTACTCTGATTTCTCAAGGACTTTGGTATAAAGAATAAATAGGTCATGTGATTTACAAATTGTAACTGGTTCTAAAATTCTTAGTTGTAAAACGTCTTCTCTGTCATAGCCCTCGCAGTTTCTGTAAGTGTCTCTGGGAGTGAATATGAGGGAATGGAGGGGTTCCGAATGGGACAGGTACATTTGGAGGTAAGCACTTATGTTGAAACCATATCTGTGGTCCCAAAGTTTACCCATTGGAGAACAGAGAATCAATGAAACAAAAAGACAAAGTGCTGATAAAAAAAAAAAAAAGAAAGAAAAAGAAAAGTTTTAATCATCTATGGAGAAATGAGGAGGGTCTTTATGTATTGATCAAAGGTTATGTTCCTGTGTTCTAGGCACTAGGGATACGGCAGTGAACAAAAACAGTGTTGGATCTATGTGCAGATGATGTTTTCGGAGTAGGATATTTAAGGAAAAGATATTATATATTATATAGTGATAATAAGAAAAAGATGGCAAATGTACAACAGATAATATATTGGTAATTATTCTGTAGATAAAGTAATCATATTAGGTCCTTCTGATGAGATGATATTTAAAGAGGGCGTTGAATGAAGTATTAAGAGGAAGTCATGCAAAAATCAAGGGGAGGTCAGTTCCAGGCTGAAAGGAGAACAAATGCAGAAGCCTGAAGCATTAGCAGCTTACCCAGGCTACTGAATTTCATTTCTGTTTTATTTTTCCCCTCTTCTTTTTTGTCCTTTAATATTTTAGTCTTGGCCGATCCCTAATATCTGCACAATTAGAATCTTTGCTATTCATGCCATTCTTACCTCATCCCCTTTCAATCTGCTCAGCCATCCAGGAGTCTTTTAAGCAAGAAGAGCCTCGGGAGTAAGGACAGGAAGAAGCCAGGGGACACGTACTATGGCTTTAAAAATCCTGAACATACAAGACGAGGTGTTCTGTCCCATCTGCCTGGAGCTTTTGACAGAATCCCTGAGCCTAGACTGTGGCCACAGCTTCTGTCAAGCTTGCATCACTGCAAACACCAAGGAGGCAGAGATCAGACTAGAAGGGGAAAACAGCTGTCCTGTATGTGGTGTCAAATACTCCCTTGAAAACCTATGGCCTAATCAGCATCTGGCTAACATAGTGGAGAAAATCAGAAAGGTCCAGTTGAGCCCAGAGGAGGAGCTGAAGAGAGACCTCTGTGTGCGCCATAAAGAGAAACTCCTGCTCTTCTGTAAGGAAGATAGGAAGATCATTTGTTGGCTTTGCGAGCGGTCTCAGGAGCACCATGGTCACCACACATTCCTCGTGGAGGAAGTAGTCAAGGAATGTCAGGTAGGCCCCAGGACGGAGGGAGAGAGGTAGAAGATGGTACTTGGGAAATGTCATCCCTCGGTACTTCTTTACTCACCTTGGCACCCTGTAATCTCTTTCCACGTGTATCTCTTACACTGTGCTCAGCTTCCAATGCTTGAAGGACATTTCTGTATATTCCTTACACTTACATAAAGAATAAGCCTAGACTCTAGAGCCTAGACCCTTGGCCATGAGTGGGAGGTTTTCCTTTTTGCCCTTTTGTTATATGGATGGGGAATTCCTTTCGCAAGCTTGGCTCTCATTTTCCCCCTCAGCAGGATGGTTGCTATTTAACACCGTGGATTGGATGTAGAAAGAGTGCCAGTAAGTATAGGATTTTTCCTGCCGCAGCACAGTCGATCTCTTACGAAAAGAGAATATTAGGCTACTTGTGGTGAGGAATGGTGACTTCTGTCGCCCAGGAACAAAGGATGTATTCTCCTTAGCTTTTCTCCCATATCCTAGATTCTAATCACAATTTCTGTAACCTGGTCTCTTCTGAGATCAGCCTGATTTCTTCCCCATTTATTCTTTGCTGAGAAAACTCATAGGTTGACTTTGATGTGACTTTTTCCTCATAGGAGAAGCTCCAGGCTGCTCTGGAGAGGTTGAAGACAGAGCAGCAGAAAGTTGAGAAGCTAGAAGCTGACATCAGAGAAGAGAGAACTTCCTGGAAGGTATGAGGAGACTCTTTCTGAGAGGTTTTGGACAAAAGAATCTTGGCAGGACCTTCAGTTCAAATCACAAGGAAGACCCTTCCTCTTTGTTCCCTGGCACAGAATGCATCCAGAAGCCATTTAATTAGTTTTCCTTTTTGTCCTGTCTCTGTTGCAGTTGAGGGCTGGAGAGTGGATATGTTACAAGTACACACAGGTATTTGGAATTGAGCACAAAGACAGACTGTTTGGCAAGGAAGGGTGGAAAATTCTGTCTTCAATTCCTCTTTTCCAATGAGGCTCCAACACTTCCAGTGGAAGACACTAGGCAAAGGACCAAGATTTTCCCCCAGGTTCAAACTTGGGAACATGGTAATGCAGGGAGGCGTGAGTGTTCAGTACAGCTGTCTCCAACATAAACCTCATTTAGTGTTTTTGTTTTTGTTTTTTGTTTTTTTTTTTTTTTAATTTTTTTTTTTTCAACGTTTATTTATTTTTGGGACAGAGAGAGACAGAGCATGAACGGGGGAGGGGCAGAGAGAGAGGGAGACACAGAATCGGAAACAGGCTCCAGGCTCTGAGCCATCAGCCCAGAGCCTGACGCGGGGCTCGAACTCACGGACCGCGAGATCGTGACCTGGCTGAAGTCGGACGCCCAACCGACTGCGCCACCCAGGCGCCCCTTGTTTTTGTTTTTTAAGTAGGCTGCATGCTGGGCACAAAGCCCGATTTGGGCCTTGAGCTCACAGCCCTGAGATCAAGATCTGAACTTAGATCAAGAGTTGGACACTTAACCCAGTGAGCCGCCCGGGCGCTCCTAAATGTAAAAACTCACTTGGGTTTTGCATTTCATCCCAGGGTTGGCCTAGATAAGACAGTCTGAGGCCTGTTTTAGTATGTACGGAAAGGAAAATAGCAGGAAAAATACCCAGCTTTCTCAAAATTTGCCCCTGTGCCCTTATTCTCCTATCGGTTAGAACTCAATGAAAAATATTTCTTTTACTGGCTTCTAATCCCTTCCACGGTAGGCTTTCAGGCTAATAGACTCTTTACCTCTCTTGTGTGTCCAATCTTGCAGTACCAGATACAGACTGAGAGACAAAGGATAAGAACAGAATTTAATCAGCTTAGAAGCATCCTGGACAGTGAAGAGCAGAGAGAACTGCAAAAATTGGAAGAAGAGGAGAAGAGAATACTGGATAACTTGGCTGAGGCTGAGGATGATCTGGCTCAGCAGAACCAACTGGTGAAAGAACTTATCTCAGATCTGGAGCATCGCAGTGAATGGCCAACAGTGGACCTGCTGCAGGTAAGAAGAATCCCTCAGTCTGGAATTCTTCAAACATAGTCTAAGTTACCTTCTTTTCTGTGTCCTTGGGCTCTAATCCTGGTATTGACACTAAAAGGTTCCTTTGGTCTTCTGGAGCCCTTCTCCATTGGAGATATATATCATGGGCAGTTGAATATAAGCATTCCAGGGGAGTGTCCTACTTTATTATTTTATGAAGTAAGGGAATACATTTGACCTTGGAGAGAAGATCTGTGGTATCCAGATCCAGATCCAGTGTTGGACATTTGTCTAGTTCTTTTCATTCATCTTAGCCACAGGCAAATACATGTATTTTCAGCTTTAAGAAATATATCCTTTTTTTAATTAAAAAGTGTATATTTATTATCACAAACTTCTCTTGTTAGATTTTTTTTTTAACACAAAGAGATAGAATACTGAGCCTTTTCTTGTGAGGATCGGCACATATATGCATAGAAAGTGTTACACTTGAGTCGTGTGAATCTCTGCAAGTGTGAATGTGTCTGTGCCAGGAAAGGTTGCTGGTGTCAGGAAAGCATGCTGGTGCAAATCTTTATTATTTTTTTAATTAAAAAAATTTTTTTTAATGTTTATTTTTGAGACAGAGAAAG